CTCTTTCCTTTCTGAAATAAAACTCTAGGGATTTTTCCACCGTGTTATTCAAGAAGTAATGAGAAATGTTTTAAAGGGAATGTCTACAAAAAAAATCATTTCAACATTATTTTTTTTTGCATTTTGTGAAACAAATATAATAAGTAAACATGCAAATAAAGAAAATATTTTTGTTGGAAGAGTTTAATATAATAGGGGTTACAAAGGCCAAAATAGGGAAACTAAGGCCAGAAACATACAAAAAAATATTCCCTGTTCACTAGAGATGAAGATGTGCTATGAGAAAAGTCTGATTTTATTTTCACACATCCAATTTCTAGAATGATAAAATAAAATCTACAAAGAGATAAAGTTTGTGAATGTCTACTTAAAAAGGGGCAGTCCTAATCTGGGAACTATTGGAGACTGATTACTAGCTGGTTGAGGGAGAGCAGGAGTTACCAAAAATGTATACTTAGGCTGACTAGACTCCAGTTAATGAATTTGCTCCGAAGGAAATCTGGGCACAAATACTTCACTGGATAGGACTTAATATGTATAGTGGAATAAATGAGGTCCAGTGAAAGGGTAGAAGGTTATGGATGGGGGAGAGGGTCTGAATCTGATAAAGAACTGTTATATGAAATGTACAAAAGATCAATAAAAATTATAAAAATGCAATAAAAAGGAAAAATATTACATACATTTCACTGGTGAGACTGACTACCATATATTAATTTTATGGCACTATTCCAAATACTTCATGCAGTATTAGGGAATGTAGTTCTTTTAACTAATCTATGTACTAGTATATTCATTTTATACATATATAATTAATATTAATTATATATTATTCATTTTATACATATATTAATTTTATGGCACTATTCTAAATACTTCATGCAGTATTATGGAATGTAGTTCTTGTAACTACTCTATGTACTATTATATTTATTTTATTCAGGAGGGCACTAAAGGGCGAGGATTAGATTTGCTGAAGGTCGAAAAAGTAAACAGTCAAATCTGTTTTCAAATACAGGGAGTGAACACCTTTCATCATGATCCTAAACAGATTAATGTTTTCTAAATACAAGACAAAGAACCAATCTAATTCATCTCATGAACAAAATGAAGTATAAAATTGGAAAATGCTGGAGCTGAAGAGATGGCTTGGAGGTCAAGAACACTGACTGTTCTTGCAGAAGACCCGGGTTCAAATCCCAGCACCCACATGGCAGCTAACAGCTTTCAGTAACTCCCGTCCCAGGGGATCTGACAGCCTTTTCTGACCTCCCTGGGCATTGCACAATGTGGGTGCACTTACCTACATGCAGGCTATACACACATACACATAAAAATTAAAATAAATAATTTTTTAAAAAATTAGAAAATTTTGTTAATGCAAAAATATGGTAATGAGGAATTCTTAGAAGATACTTTACTGACTTAGGGTTTAGTATTTGTCCACAACTGCCCATTGCCAACCCAAAGCTATTTGCTCACTACCAAATCATGTGACATGGATTTTGAAGTGATATTTTATACAAAATTTCATACTACCAAGTAGAGAGCATTTTCTGTTACTCATGGGGTTCCAAATAGTCAGAAAACAATTTAAAGAATTGATTTATATTGTTTAACTGACAAGAGTTGGGGAATGTATAAATTTATATCAACTTATGAATTTATATCTATTCTAAGATGGACTGAGGTCCAGTATTAAGAAGTTAATATCTGTATAGGTTTTAGAATATTACATAGCTCAGAATTTATTGCTGAGTGTCAGCTTGTATTTTTAAATGTTTTATAATGTTTGAATCCTTTGTTTAAAAAAAGATTAAAACCCACTGTTTCAATCAGCTAAAACACATACTTATAACTTACGGTAAATTTCCAAAACTACTGTGGCTTCTTGTGTCTGTCCTTTGGCATCTGTCGCTTGGCAACGATATATCCCTGCATCTTCTATATTTGCATTGTAGATGGTTAGTCGTGACCTCACACCTTCCTTCTGCAACATAACCCTCTGTGTCGAAATGATCTTCTCTCCTTGAGGATTATACCAATCTATACTTTCAGGCTCACCAATTGCTGCAAGGAGGCAAAAAACATGTTTGAAAAATATGTTCCAAGTTTTTGTTTTCACAGTGGAATTTACTGCTCTGTAACAATTTCAGTAATTTAGAAAAGAGTGTAAACAGAAGACTGGAAATCTGAAGAAAATTGTACAAAACTGAAAGTAAACACAAATGTTAAGACAAATGTTCATCTTTGTTTAATCAACATTGAGGATCCATTCCAGTCCAAGCAATCAAACTCTAAGTTTCACTGGAAAATTATTATGCAGTATTTTAGCCGTGGGAGTTAAAACTTCCCACTCATAATCTATGGATTATATTATATATACATACTAAAACTGCCTATGCAGACTTAAACCGGACTTGATAGATAAATCTCAGCAGAAATAAACACTAACTTGATTTCATACACTCAGTTCTCTTTCCTAGGGTCAAGAGGAAGGAGTATTTGCCAAATAAAGAATTCTTTACAAAAAAAATATTTGCTAAAACCAATTGTGGCCATTGATAATCTTGAATTTTGAGCTAATTTCCTAAATATTTCAAGTCATACAGAGAAGTCCAGGCAATTACCAGCTAAGAATTCATTCCAAATGTCTTTACCAACTTATGAGTTCTTTTGTAATTTAAATTTAAAATTATTAACTATGTAGTGACATGATAACTGGAATGCATTGAAATACTACTTATCCTGCTGGGCAATTACAGCAAAATGATTACAGTGTAAAGGTTTCCAAATCAGAATTAGTTATTAAGCTCTTTATAAAAGCTAAAGTCTCCTGCGTTTGCTTTCAGGTTTCCAAAAGGATGTATTAACCTAATTATTACAGCGATCATTTGTGGAGGAAACATTCACTATTAACTCAAAAACAGTGAGAAAAAGATGTATGAAGTCAAGAAATGTAGTTCCTCTGTGGAGAACGTTGATTGTTCACATTTTATTTCTAAGAAAAATTATCTTCCTTTCCAAAAATATTAGACATGTTCAAGGAAAAATATTTTAAAAGTTTAGGAGGAATTTTAAATGAATTAGTTATCCTAGCTCCAATTTTTCCGACGAGAACCATACAATCATATTCAGAGCATACTCATTTATTTTAATGCAATCGCTCCATAGAGAAGCTGAAAACAGTATTTAAATGGACATTAATTCAATTTGGAGCAATACAAAAATCTCATGAACTTGAAAATTAATGATACTGTGAGAAATATTTTGGGTACTATATTTCCTAAAAATGAGTTAGGGAATTCCACTGTCATGGGTAGGTCATTCTGGATTTTCACAGAACACTCACCTTTCTCCTTCTCTTATAATGTCAAGTTAATAAAAATTTCCCTTAAAATTCTATGTTGAAAAGTGAACAAGACTCTTAGACACGCTATTTACATGATTAAAGTCTTCATTTTTATGAAAATGTTATAAAAGTTAGTCCATCTGGCACATTCCTATATAAATAACAGGGAAGGATGCCTGCTAGCTTAAATGTAAGGTTTACTGATATAATTTCATATACCCATAGTTTTTAAAGTATCTGCAATTTAAAGTCGTCCCTACATACTGATCATCACTGTAGATAAAAATATTTTAAATATTCTGATTTTCAAGGATTCTGTCTTTATTTCATTTGCCTTAAGAAACTCAGAAAACTGCTAAATGACATTAATCAATACTTTTCTATATTATGTATCATACATATGTATTAATAAAAATTATTTTTATACTTACAATTTATTTAAAAGCTTTATTAATCTGCAATTATGTAATAAAATTTATTGTATATGTATATATTTGCATATGTGTATAGAAAATACAAATGAAATTTAAAAACAGTAAATTATATTCTTAGATGAATGCTTTTCTGTCTTAACTGAGGACCCTATACCAATCATAACTAACCTTTTAATATTCTACTTGTCAGCATAAAAATGTGTATTAGTACACGAGTTCATTAAGACTCTTAGGAAAGTACAAATATAAAAAAATCTAGTCTTTTCCATTTTCTAAACATAAGATGCAGAATTTTGTGTCCAATACTCTAAATATCATTTATGACTATTACTATAGCCTTGGTTATACTTCACAATTTAAATAAGCCATGATATTTTCAAGACAACTTTTCATTTCTTATGTGATGCTGGAGATCAAAGTCAGAACTGTGCTTTCATTAGGCAAGCACACGCTACAGTTCAGCTGTACCATGAATGCTCAAAGCAAATTTTGCTATTTTTGTGTTAGGGGTACTTATCTCAAACTATTTTGTATTACTTCAATGTAATCAAAACAGATATAAATTTAAAATATTCTCATAAGAATTTTTAGCATTAAGCAAATACTTTTAAATGGTTAGCTCTAAAGGCTTGACTGCATAAATGTGAATAAAATTAATCTATTTTGATAAATAGTGTGCTTTTTTGAGATCTCTATAACACAATGAATTAGAGTCTGTTATTCAAGTATATAAGGATCTTCTGAAAGAATTTGGTTTGTGGTTAAATAAGGATCACATCATTTTCTATAGACATGACATAAGGAATTTAATTGTCGCATATTCTTCAAAATTAATTCTTGAGTAAAAAACTAAATTAATATTTATGGTTCAAAAGTGTAAAAAAATCATTTTTCCTTTAATTTTCATTCAGGTGTTACTGTAATTCATTGTGCCATATCTAATTTATTCATTACTTATTTAAAAAGATAGTTCAGCTTTAAGCTTCACATTAATCCTAATATTACTGGTAAATGGGAATAATATTTAAACCACTTTAAATTTCTTATGCATTCAACATACTTCATACTATTAATTCAGAAATATTTATCCATCTTGAGAAATAAGTAATAAGAATAAATTTCATAGTGTTTAGCATTAATTTTTGTTTTTTCCATACATATATTCAAGAAAAGATATTATTTTTATAGACAGGTTGTAATATTCAAATTTATCCAATATGTTTTATAAAATATTAATGTATAGAAAATGTTATCTCAGTACATACCTGTGCATGTGAAGAATTTAGACTCACCCACACTAAGCTCTACTTTGCTGAGTGAAATTGTCACTTGAAGAAGAGCTGAAAAAAAACACAAAAATTAAGTAACAATGCTACACTATTATACATTTCATACCAGTATAAATATAACATTTATCTAAATGGAATTCTGTTGACCATTTCAAGGATCAAATTCATACATAGCCATTTCCTAGTTAAAGGATGTGTCAAACAACATTGTATAATATGTAAGAAAAGTGTTGCCCAATATTCAAAATTTTGTTGGTAAAACCACATTTTATATTGTCATTCCAAAAATTAAATATATGTTAACTATGTTGTGACTAAAAGAATATTTGTGCTAAAGAAGGCAAACCACAACAAAGGGAACATTTTCCAGGTAAGTGATAGAGCACCCACATTTTGAAGATAAATTTGTCTACTGACAGAGATAGAATATCTGTAAAGCAACCAAGGAGATGCTCAGTATCTTAAACACGTGTTTCAAATTTCAAATAAAAATAGCTGAAATTCTAGAATTTTGGAAGATAATTAAAATACTGCTCTCACCAACTGTAAAGACTATTTCTAATTTCAGGAAAGACAAGAATAGTGAAATCTTTCCCTTAATCCTGTCTCACAACATCTTTTCTCAGAAATAGGTAGTTGAATGTTCAGTAATATAGCAGAGGTATAATGGATATATTGAAAAACATTTAAGGTCATGTACAAGCCTGTGCTGGGAATTGGCAGATCAAAGTAGACAACAGATCTTTTCTACTGATCACAGACTAAAGAGAATTAGGACCTAAGCTAGGCTTGGGCAAGAGAGTGCTGCAGAAAAACACAACATTGAACCAGAATAAGTTCCATTCTCAGTGCGTGATGGAAAGAGTAGCAACTGACATTCATGCTCATAGAGATAACAAGGAGATTTCCCTCTCTAGATCAGAGTACTTTATGAAGAACTCTTCCTCCATACTGAAGTTTATGATTTTAATATAAGCACATGTTCTCTGGAAAACTCCTGAGGAGACAGTTACTAAAGTAGAACAGCCTGAAAAACTTACAGTCACATTACTGAAATAAGCATAGGTGCCCTTGGAGGACACACATTACAGTCTAGGTTGTATAGTAATTTTATAAGCTAGGTTCTTTTTAGTATATACTCATTGGTTGTCATTAAAAGGAAAATGGTGATGTCAAGTACAAACGGTAATAGATGAAACAACAAATAGGGAAAACATACTCATGACTTTGAAATACTGTGCATTTAAGACTGGGAATGTAAATGTAATTCTGTTTGAAAGTTTAATGAAATAAAATGTGTACTCAATGGTATTTCTATAAATTAGAAGAGAGGACTTCATGCTTTTCATTATAAATGAATTAATGTTTGAGAAAGAAGATATTTTTAATGTTATTTAAGAATTTTTAAAAAATGTACACATATTATGTAAGAAACACAAAATATGTTGTGGTTCGGATGAGAAATGCTGTGCATAACCACATTTTGAATACTTGTTCTCCAGTTGAGACCATTTGTTTGAACATTTAGGAAGTGGTTCTTCATTGTAATAAGAAAGTTACAACGCTGTGGGCTTTGGGTTTTTATTGCCTGGCTTCAATGAGCAATGGGAGGAGAGTATGGTAGGAGAGACAGACATCAAGATTAACATAAAATAAGCCAGGTGGTAGATGGATGGGAAACCCCTCCTCACAAGGGCTAGTGACACAGCATGTATGAAGAAAGTGTTTCAGTGCGCCATATGTAAAAGTAAGATACAGTGGTGTTGTGTAAATGACCCATGAGAATGAAGGTCACAATATTCAGAGCTCATAGCTCAGCTCAGCAATTTTGTTTTGACAGGGACTCCTGATAGGAAAAGTTGGCCTGGCATGCACTGTGGAGACCAGGCTGGCCTTCATCTCACAGATATCTTCCTGCCTCTTCCCTGAGTGGTGGTATTAAATGTGTGCACCACCAAGCCTGGCCCCTGTGCTCAGACTTTTTGGTCTCAAACCTTTCTGAACTTCACAGCACAATTTCTTTCTGCACAGTGCCTTTCTTTTTCTTAATAAATTATCTGTATCATGATGCATAGACTCATGATTAAATTCTTTTTTTCCAGGATGTGTATCCTGGAAATATCAGCAGGTGGCCTCTGATTTAAACATTTGATGAACTTCTGGTTAGAAGGTATGATGGATCTATTATATAACCTCTTAAGAGCTTTAACTCAATGGAAGATGAAATGCTGTCAAATTTCTCTCTCTTCTTTAATAAAAGTACCCAGCCAGCATAGGACTAAGTTCTTCCTTTCCTATCCTTTCACATTCCACAGAGGACTTTAAATGATGGGCAAGCTCATGCGGGAAGCCTGATGAGAGATAGCATGGAACAACATGTACAAAGTTAAGAAAGGAAACAAAGAAACATAAGCATAGGTTCAAAGCCTGATCAACAAAGGAATAGCTCAAATGATTTGAAGACTCAAACTAGTGTTTAATTATCTCGGGGCTATACTCAGAGTTGTCAAGGAATTCTGGGTAGCAATGACAAGAAAGAGAACTTGAACTGGCCAGAGTGCCTTAGGACTCAGTTTGGATGGGTTTCCTATTTCCACTCAGAGGCCCAAGGACATTTCTCTCCCCATTACTATTATCATAAAATATTAATTCCAGTTCTCTTGAACACCCATCTATGACCTATTTTCACATACTGGAATAGGACTGATTCTGGGAATCTTAAGGAAAGAAAACTACTATTTCATGATCAGACCATCTGACTACTTTACCAACTCTGTGAGGAGGAATTTGCCTAAGTGATGGAACCTTAAACCTCAACAAAATCCTTCAGTTGGACTTACTTGTAAGAAACTTGGAAAATAGTCTGAAATGCCTTATGTATAGGTCATTATGATCCTCTATGAAAAACATAAAAAGGACACTTCTAGTATCCTACATGACATATGTTCATTTGAAACTCCACCTTGTAAACAGAATACAGTATGTAATAGAAATCAGATAAAATATTTTTTCTGTCTCTGTGAAGCCCACACCACCTCCATAATCTCACATCTCTTCCAAGCTACCAGAAAGTAGTGAACCCAGACCTGTGAAACACACAGCAAGAAGTGCTTCCTACCAGGCATTCACACCTATTTTATAGCATACCACTCCCTAAGGCATATATATGCCTAGACATTTGATATGAATTAGGGAGCATCTCCCCTTTTCCATCACAGCAAGGAAAATCAATAAAGTTCCTCTGAGGTTGGATCCCAAATTACAAGTAACACTGAGATGTTAACATTAGCTTACGATCTTACATGGAAGAATCCATACTTACTCCTATTTGTCAAACAGTTGGAAAAAAAAAGAGAGAAAAGAAAAGAAAGAATCTGGGGAAAAGCTAAAAATCAAGCTGACAAGAAATTAGCTTAAAGTTCTCATGACCATCTGCCCATATGCAGGCCATCCGTTCCAGGAGTCTACTGTTTGAGACTGTCATACTCCTGCAAGGACCCATATGTATAAGATGATGATAGAAAACATCAATATGGAAATAAAATTTATGTGAAGAAACCTATTATGACAAACCATAGAGATTACTCAAGAAAAAGCTATAGGAAAATCCTGCCCTAATTTTCAATAAGTTAATTGAGATTTTCAGGAATTTCACTAACTTGAACCCCTTGTCCCCAAAACACAAACTCTTTGGGCCAGCATTTTATTCAGTAGAAAGTTTTTAAAGTGGCAGATGAAACTTCAGACCTCTTCAACTGTTGGGCACTGCCTTCTTGTGTTCAAGAAATTAGATCTGAAGGAAGAGAAAAAAATGAACAGGGAAAGGGTGAGAAAGGTTTCAAATGATGGTGCTTGTACACATAAGTATAGATATTATTGGAAAGGCCTGCCCACCAAGCAACTCCTGTGATAAGCCTCAGAGATGAAAGATGAAAACCCAGATCCTGTTGAAATGCAAAGGTACGGGCCATTGGACTGTGAAAACATCAAACGCCCCTCCCCAGGGCATTCTCTGAAACACAAAGACCCAGAGGGCTGACCTTAGAGGGCAGATTGTCTCTATTCCCCAAAATAGAGGGCATAACCCCCGACAGGACCAGCTTGCAGACCTGGAGATACCAAGTGAAATAGACTGGCAGGGACAAAAGTCAATGATATTCTGATAGACCCACAAAGAGTTAATCTTTTCCAATCTATAGATGAAGAAATACAATCCAAATTTTTTACTCTGTTAAAATATTTTAGTCATGTGATTTCATAATTGTTTCCATATCCCGGTATGGCATTATGTGTATAATTCAGAATATGGCAAAGCTTAGTTTGTCCCAAGGAATTCCAAATTTAACTGAGTAGCAGTATCTGTGACCATGTCATTAAAATTTTTTATACTGTACATTATAATTATTTGGATATGTTTAATTTTAAATGTGTGTGTCTGTGTGTGTGTATATGTGTGTCTGTATGCATGAATGCATATTTTAGGAGTATATTAAAAAGGCATACTTAACTGTATGCTTAAATTCTTAAAAACTATTAAAGTGGCATTTGGATTTAAATTTATTTTTCATAAAAACTTAACACTCACTAAAGTTATAAGGTAAAAGTTTAGTTATTAAATTTAATATTGGAATTATAGATTTTAATAATTATTTTTTCAAAATAGATTCTGGAAAACAATCCTAAAATTTTATTCCATATTTCTTTATAATCAAATACAACCAAAAACCCACCTAAATTATATTAATTATCTCTAAAATTATCCAAAAATTCTTTAATGATAGAAATTGTTCTAAATTATTTTTCCCAGGTGTTTCTTTTATTATTCTTATGCTTTTTAATAATTTATTTTGCTTTTAGTTTTTAATGTACCCTTTTATTTCTTTTTTGTGCACTCCATATAATAGATCTTAATCAAATTTAGCCCCCGCCCCCAAAATCAGTACCCTCCAATGCTCCCCATTGGATTTCATGCATTCTGTCCTATGTGTTAAGTCCTATCCAGTCTTTGTACCTAGATGTCGCTCAGGGAAAGTTCATCCTCTGAAGTCTAT